TCCACGCTCGTACCTGGCGAACGGGACCCAGCAAAAGGTGGAAAAAGCTGACCTTTCTGTGTCCGCCCTGGGGTATGCAGCGTTCCCCCCCAGTAGCTCGGGGATATTTTCCCTCTAAGTGACCACAGACAGATACAGAAAACCAGACATGAAACTGAGACAATCTCCGTTTCTCCTTTTTTTACACCTGCACGCCTAAGTAGAGAGAAAACACGTTTTCCTTAATGTTCGAGTATTGGCTAACCCAGGGCTGACAAAGCTTTGAGCGTCACCTATCCAGCACTTAAGCAGCCACAGAGGCTATCTTTACCAAACTAGATTTTTCACAACTGTTGGAAAAAGCCTGTAGTAGGCTTCCCTTGTCAACAAGGCCCATACACCTGTTATTGCATCAGCTAAAATACTTACTAGCACTGTTCAGGTTACTTACACTACCACAGAAGCAGGATAAGGTCCAAGGAAGGGGCTTTGGTTATAAAATGATCAATTCCTTTACTGTAAAAATACTAAACTATGTCCAGCTGACCTCTCATAATCAATACTATAATTGTTATTTTGACAGAAACCCTATACACAAAGTACAACGGAAACAACCACTGAAGTGAGCCTCCACAGTCCCTGCAACATTTGCAAAATCCTTTTTTGAGTCATGCTCCTCAGCACTCAAGGGTTTTGTCTCTCCCCCGCTATTAATAAAAATAAAGTCTTAATTTAAGAATGAAGTCAATATATGCATGGCTGGAAGCAATACTTCTTGCGTGTTTAAGAAGTTGAGCAATCAAGTCATTTGACAAAAAGCAAGAATCAGGTTAGCAATACTAGTTGTGAACCACAGAAAGTGTAGTTATGCAGCCGAGGTCTTAATTTCACATGCATGTTTTCCTCTATACACCGCTCTTGAATGCAGTCCTACAGGCACAGGTGTTTCACATGAAGTCAGTCTTTCCACCAAAGACAAACCTCTCTAACAAGACAATGCGAACAAAAGCCTCCCACACACACAAAGCCAAACCCACACATCCAGATACTGGCATGAACTGCTCTTACAACCTATACACGTTAATAATGAGAGAGGCAAACAGGAAAACAGGCAATTATACAAAAGAATTTATTCCAAAAGTTGTGATAAAAGTATTTCAGTTTTTTTTTTTTAAAAAAAATGTATGTTATAAACATTTGGTAAGATAATACATTCATTTAAAGTCTCAGGTTAATAGGCTGCTCTGCAGGAGCGATCCCGGCACAGGTAGGCTTCCCGCAGGCTGCACGGCGCACTGTGGCAGGCAGCGCGGCGCACTGTGGCAGGCAGCGCACCTCATGTGTTTGGATTTTGATCTGCAAGGCAGTCTTCACCCTGAGCTGATGCTCTTATTTGGTTAAGGCCAAGCTTGCTCACTCTCCTCCATTTAAAAGAATCCAAGGGACCCAAACCTAAGCAAAGCTCTAAGTGCTCACAGTGGGCATTCAGACAAACCAATTTTTAGACATCGTGAGTATGTGCAACTACAGTTCAAGTTAATGGAAGATAGGGATTTAAGCCTGCTCTTAATTTCACCTTAGAGAGCAAAATTTTGCCTGCATATTTAGGCACTTAACTTCCAGAGTGCCTTCTGAACCAAGCAGTTTTGTTGAACAGCATTTTCACCATCCTGACAGTCTATGACCTTAATGTATACAGGAAAGCCAAGAATTTTCATAAACACTAAAGAGAAGCCCACATCTTTATCAAATGTAAGCTATTCATACACTAAGTATGGAGTGTAGTTGAACATTGCAGTTTATTTTAACCTACTTCCAAAACCAGAGTAAACATGAAAAAAAAAATTATGATAATATATTGAGGCCCTGCAGATGGCCTCTTTCCACAAAAGGAGAACACAGTTTAGGAATACTACCTGGGTTTGAATTCGAATGGAATTACACAGCCCTAGCACTGTATGAGAGCCAAAATAATTTAAAGCCTTAAATACAAACCTACCCTTTGATAGACTGAAAACATCCCATCACTTTAAACTGTAGTACTGCAGAACATAACTGTACACATTTCCAAGTAACAGTTTGCCTTTGCCTAGTAATTTTAAAGCAATTATAGGCCAGCTTCATAAAAAGTAGACTACAACTCAAGAGTAGAGTATGAGAGGAATACAACATGTTACATTATGTCAAGAAATGAGAACCTTCCCATGTTGAAATAGTTTAAAATGCATTTGACTAAACAATTTGAAAAGTAAACCTGTCCATCTGCTTTGAAGAGTAGGTACCTGAAGTGCAACATTTCCAAGAGTCCTTCAGGTATGGATACTTTCTTGCTACAGGATGCCTCCTCTACTTACCTACTGGGACAAAACATACAACCTTTGCTCCTTAATAGCATTATACAGTAACATTTTCTTACAGCCCAAGTGATGCTGTTACAGCAGTTTACATTCCTGTTCCAGTACTAATGAGAATTTATATTTAAAGTGCATCTCAAATCAGAAATCTTTAGTATGCAAGAATAATATGCTAAGACTTGTGGAAGTATATTTGCTAATTCAATCACTGTGATACAGAGTGCCTTTTGATTTACTAGTAGGACAAAGTTCATACAATTAAGAGACTTCTTGCAAATAAGCACAACTACAGATTTGGCCAAATTCAGAGTTGTTTTTTTTTTTTTGCAAGTGGAGCTGCACACACATACATAGAAGGCAGAATTTATCCTACAGAGAAACATTGAATTTGGTAAACAAGTTTAAGCTTTTTGGTAAGTAAGCTTAAGCTTTTAGTTCAGAAAGGTATTTTTCAATACTCAATACTTTTCCTAACCATCTTTCTCAATTCATCAGTCACAGAAACATTAGGAAAAGTAGATTTGTTAGTTTCTATAGGAAGAAAAAAAACCTCATTTTTCGGTAACTGCAGCTTAAATATCCACAGCTAAATGTGAAATCTTAAATACATTGGTTTTAAAAAACAAATCTGTGCTGGTATAACACCATGATCTCTTGAAAAAAGCTCCCTAAAGAACATGAAAACAAGCAGCTCCAGAGTCACCCAATTACAAAAAAATTTACTTCTTAAAAAACAGTAAATAGCATAGATTGTTTCCTCTGATTTTGCTAGTTAACAGTTTGAAAACATTTTTTTAACCTTTATAAGGCATCACACAAAGTTTCAGTACCATTTGGATGAACAGACAAAAGTCACTACTTTCACTGTGGTTGAAGAGAACGTGATCTTAAAGGCAAAAAGCAATTGTCACTTGAACTAGTACTTGGTTCTTGCTGCTCTGATTGGAGCTCTGGGGGGAGTGGGGGTGCACCAGGGTCTCCAGGCCCTGGAAGGGTGGCTGAGAAAACAGCACTCTCTGCATTTCCCATCTCTGCAATTGGTAAATTCATTGAGTGAAGAGAGACAGCAGACACAAATGCGGCGGTGCTATAATCTTCTTCTGGATGATGTATCTGGGTAGATTCTTTGTCTTTTGTTTTATCAAAAAAATTAGATTCATCAGAATATGATCTAGAAAGATCATTTGTTCCTCCATACAGTGAGGTCATACAGGTGCTGCAGCTTAGACCTAAGACAAAAAACAGAGACTAGATTTAATTACAAGATGTTGCACTCTTAAAACTGTGCTCTGACTTGGTATCAGTAAGATTATCAAAGATCAATTGTCTGTATTTTTAACAGACTAACCTCTCCATCTCACCTGTGACATGCCAATATTCATGACAAATTAAAAAAATACACACAGGTTATCTAGGCTGATGTGAATGATTTCTCTGTATCAGCTACTATTTGACAAAGGTGCACCGTAACTTAAGCTTCATTTTAGCAAGTCACTTTAACCCTTTTGATTTTTCTCACTGTGTTCTTTAAACTTTTAAAAGCTTCAGCTACATGGTTCTACTCCAAAGTGGACTGCATTTGAAAGCTGTTTTACCTGAAGCCAGAGAAAATTTCAGACCTTTCATCTCTAGGGCTAAAATGTACCTCGTCCTTCTTTATTTCTCTTTTGATGGGTGTGGAAGGGGAAGTAAGGGGTTTTGTTCAGAAGGCTTATACTTTCTTTATCTGCCTTAAAATATGGGTATATACAGTCACTTCAAGCTTTGTGTGTCAACAGAACCTCTCTGCCTGTATGAAACAACACATGCATACCTTTATAGTGTTTAATTTTAAATTTTGGCATTGAAATCGTAGAGGGGAGTTCCCCTCAGGTTGCATTTGCTGGCTTATCTTCCGCTGAGGTGAAAAGTTTAACAAAACCAGAGCATCCTGCCACTGCAGTAAGTAGCTTCAAGAGAAATGCAAGGTGGAATATAACCACCTATTTTGAGTTCTGAATTAAACCTCACAGAAAGCAAAACTGAAATGTGAAGACAGACTTATCCATCATAACAACACACGATAGGGTGTTTTGCAATTTATTATTTATGGTGTGTTCAGACAGTAAAAAGGCAAAGCCAGGACACGTGCACTAGGATCTTAAACTCAAACTGGTGATATTTCCAAGAACATTGTCCCAGACACTAGAGGAAGCAAAAAAAAATTTTGTACTAAGAAACATAATTTAAAGAATTGTTGGAGTTTAATTTTGCAGACCCTCAAAATAAAACTTGTCTTACAAAATACCATCATAAACTTCTCACCTTTGAGAGCTTCAAGTTTTTCATTTTTTACTTTCAACACTACATCAGTTATCTTTTGTAACAGGAAGTTTTGTGTTCTTTCTCTTCTGATAGATTCAATCAAAGCGTCTAGTCCCTTTGGGTTTTCTGCTAAGTAGTCCAATAACTTCCCAGTTTTTTTCCTACTGGAAGATCGAGAAGAAATTTCTTCTGTGTCCTCTCTAGTGAGTATTTTCTTTGAACGTAGGTAATCAAAGTGTCTCTCAGCTATGATTTTATCACACAGGTAAGGACGCATCCTTTCTAAAGCCTGAAAAATAAAACAAACTATTATTAGCCAATCTTTCAATTTATTTAGAAGCCTATATTTGAAACCTATATGATTTTGATGCAGGTTAATGAAACAATTTTTAAAGCTGCCACCATGTTACCTAGCAGAGATTCTTCTCAGTTGAAAACAATAATTAAAAAAACCTGTTATCTAATTTACTTATCTCTTTCATTAGTCTTCTTCAAGTGAACTCAGGAGTTTTAACAGATGTTAAGTAATAAGATGAATACGTACTGAAAATGTTAATTACATCAAGTCTGTGGTTATCACATTCCAGAACAGTCACCAAGTAAAAATGAAACCACAACAGCGCCTACTCCCTTTGTTTACAGACACACTCATTCTCACCGATTACCTGATTGCCACATTTCCATACTATTTGTATCCATGAGACACAACTCCAAAGTACTGCATTTACTGATATTTTCTGTACATTGAGTAAAAGCAGTCTCAGAGAAATTTTATGGGCTGCTTTTTGTCTTCATGAAGCTGCCTTCTTTCGTTTAAGACTTTATATTAAACACCTGAAGCGACTTGCACACCTCTAACATGCTGCACAGACTCGACCCTCCACAGTATAACTGCAGCTTAAGTCCTCTCTATAACCAGCAAAAAGAAAGAGGTGGAACAAGCTACCCATGGGAGGGGACTCCATCCATCATCTAAGGACCCTAACATGCAGTCAATTAACACTGGGTATGCTGAAGCAGAGACATCTGTCAGCAGCAGTGCCACTTTGCATCTTCAGGAACTGTAAATAGCTATTATCAGATCACATTCCCTCAGAGATCATCTTCCCGGAGAAACTTGCTATCTCTTGTAACCATATCCAATTCTAAGCTGACTACCAATTTATTTCAGAAGTAATTTTATAGGAGCAATGTCAGAACTAAAGACTGCTATGTCAGCACTTTGATCTTCTCCTTGGAAGATCAAGTCCTCTTCTATACCGACCAATTTATTTTTACAGTTCTCAAAACAAAAAACAGGGTTCCTCTACCTTGTTCAGAGGATACATACAAGCACAAACATAGCCAAAATGTAAATTATATTAATCTTGTTTCAGTGTGCAAATTTGCAAGCCTGCTTGATATCAACATTGAAACAGTATTAATGCATTAATGCATGTATTCAAAACTCTCTGGTTTCAGTATCTACTACTCTATGAAGATGAGAATCACAAATGACATCTCTGTGCTCAAAAAGTGAGCTCTCATTTTATATAATATTACAAAATTGGCAGTTTCTCCCACCAACATTTTTCACTGTGCAGAATTACACAAGTCAGATACCCACTAGCTGAAAATTACTGATGGGAAAAAACTAGTGTCCCTGCCCCAAGTCTCATTTGATTCAAAAAAACAAAGATTTGAGAGCCAGAAGGAAAAGCACCTTTATATACAAGACATGTGAAGAGATGGAAACAAAACTTCTTTCCTGAGGAAAGTTTTCAAATATCCTCCTGCTTTTTGAGATTAAATTCTGTAACAGTAATTTAATTTTAAATTTTAAATATAAATTTTAAAATTACTGTTTGCATTATAGCTATTTACTAACTCAGTAAATAGAAGCAGATGAAAAGCTAGATATAAAGACACACTTTAATACAGATTATTTCAAACAGCAAAATACTGTCTGGCATACTCGTGCTACGGAAAGCACCAATAACTCAAAGAAAAAATTTCCTGGATTGCTCCACTAAGTATAGCAGAGGATAAACGTGTTGTTCTAGTTGCTCTTTAGGATCCAACAGATACTAAGCTATCAATAAACAGCCTGTGCTTCCACAGTTGTTAAAGAAAGCATCAGATGAGTGTGCATGGAAGGTAAAGGCAAGCTTTTGGCAGTAGACTATCACCACTAGACTGAACACAATATGAAACAAAAAAAGTAAGGGTGCAGCTCCATGGCAGCCAATTTAAGTGCAAGGAACACTCCTCCCTGCATGGCAGCTGCATGTTCCTACCCTTTCCCTTGTACTGGGGATGAGAGGATCGAGTCAAGAAACTGAATTGGTGCTTTTTTCCCCCTCCCCTCCCACAGCCAGATAAATTACCCAATCCAGTTTAATGTGCAGTGAAATTGGCACTAGTGGTAGCATAACAACTACGATAAGAGCAGAAAAGTGCAACAGTACAGTTTATATCAATTTAGGCAGCCCTGGAATACATTTCAAGTGTCCAGTTGCAACAAGCCCATGCCTGAATGGTTATGAATGTAGTAGGCAATACAGATTTCTTCAGTTCTCATGGAAATCTCATCCTCCCACCAGAAGAATCAATCAAACTGACAAATAAATCAGTCAACGTTTCAACATTAAAAAAATAGAAGGAGTTGTTGTTGAAGAGAAAGACTATTGTCTTTTGACTAACATCTTCCTGTAATGAGTCTTTCATTGTATGAAGTGTATCAGTTCCAAATTCCCCTCTGCACTGTCCTCATAGGTTAACAGTTTGAGGGACAGAGAGAGCAAACACATTAGAACAGAACCTTTAAATATACTTTGCTCTTATCAATGTTTCTATATAGCTCACTGCCTCCTTCCCAGGTCTCAAATGTAAGACTCCAACCTTTATAATTCCTCCTCAAGACAAGTTTACCCAGACCAAGTTATAAGTTATCTTTGCAAGTTAGCTTTCTGAGGTATGCTGTCACATAATATACACAGAACTTCTGTTAATGCAACACTTCTGTTTGAAGTGATCCTATCAAAGTTACTTGAGCTGCTTTGAAACAGCTAAATGAGTTTACACTGAACCAGCACTTTGGACCATGAAGGTGCAACATTTTAAATCTGAAATTAGATGCTCCGAAGTCAGATTTATTGGATTGTATTTTAACGATAAAACTAATGTTATTTCTTTTTACCAAGAAACCAAAACCCAACTCCAAACATTCTTTACTGTACTTTAAAGGAACATAAAAACCCAAATGAGTCAAACATAAGACACCGTAAATTACAAACAGAAGCATGGATGGTCAATAAATACCTGATAAACCGTGATTATTTTTTTTTTAAACTAACCAATCACTTGTTGAGATTGGTTAGCACATTGCTTGCTTCCCAGTCTAGCAAAGAGATAAGTAACTCCAGACTGAATCGGGATGAAGTCTTCCCTCAGATTCCAGACATCAGTGAATAAATACAGGAAAATAATCAGGAAAATATAGAACAAAAAGCCTCCAAAAATTACCAGTATTTAACCCAAATATTCAGGCTCTATAACAGAGATCTTAGTAACACTAAGAGCAGCATATACATTTGCAGCTAACCTTTAGACACTATATTCATTACTCATCACTTCTACTCCGTCTCCTATGCCTCATCGTGGTATGTACAGACACCACGAAACCCTTGCTGCTCTGGCCTTACAACGTGACAAAGGAGTAGACTGCTTAGAGGAAAACAAAAGAAAACTGAACTTTCAGGTGAATACCTGGCCCCAGGGTCAAGTTTTTGCAA